TTGCTCAATGTGTGCATGCATGTGTGTGTGTGTTTATGTGTTTGTGCGTGTGCTTACGTGTTTGTATGTGGGCGTGTGCGTGTGTGTGCGTGTGTGTGCGTGCGAGTCCATGGTGGCGCATGGACCAAGCCCACACATGACGATGACGAGACGCAAGTAAGCCACGACAACATGTTACTCACAGGCGGTAACCAACTCACGTTTTCTGTGCAGGTGTTTCCGCCTTTGTGGATGAGCAAGGCCACCAAGAAGCAAGTGTTGGTTGTGAAACAAACGCAGGGCGTGAGCTGCGGTACACAGCTGGTACACGGCAGGTACACGGCAGGTACACGGCAAACAGCTTGCACTCATGGTCATGGTCGACACACAGTCACACATACGCACGCACAGACGTCACAGATACAGATGCACACATGCTCACACATGGACACACACACACACACACACACACACAGAGGCACAGACACACGCACAGACACACGCGCACACACACACACACACACACACACACACACACACACACACACACACACACACACACACACACACACACACACACACACACACACAAACACACCGTCTTCTTCTGCTTGAGGTCGCCGTCAAGCATGGCCTCCACTGCGTCCAAGTCTGCCATGACGGCGTCGCGTTCGCTGCTGGCAAAGGCGTGTGAGGAGAAATGTATGATGTTTTGCACCAATTTTCCATCCAACCACAACCTGGAAGGCAGACAACCCAAACACAAGCACCACCTTCCCCAAGCCACACAAGCACACATGCCAAAGTTCCCCGTGGCAGAGACGACCAAGATCGTCGTCTCTGATGAGGATCGCGACACAGCAAACTCAGAGTTCAACCTTCAAACCATCCAAGAGGTGAACACGGTCGTGCCTGTTTGCATGTTTGTGCCGGTGACGTGACGTTAACTCTGTGTGTATGTGTGCGTGTGTGCGTGTGTGCCACTGCATATGAGTCTTCTTCCTTCACATTCGGTCTCACCACGCGCATCGTGCGAACCATGTGCACGTGCTTAGATCCAGAACAGCTGGGTGGGGGCAAGCGAGACTCTGGTGCGCGCAAACCGCCTGTTCATCATGGAGGACAAGCTGCAGAAAGTGTGTCGCAGAACCGTGAAACCGCGCCACTTCTTCCTCTTCAACGACATCTTGGTAACGAGTACCCCATGAGCGAGGGCAAGGCTTCGTACACGAGCTCAACTCACCCTGTTCCGCCATGTTTCGTTACGTGCTGGCTGCACTCGCATGCGCGTCAAAGCTTACCCACTGCATTGACGCTTCCCTTGTAGGTTTATGGCACCGAGGTTGGGCGACGGCGGTACCGCAACCAGCACGTGCTGGCCTTGGCTGACATCTCCATCCGCAACCTTGGCGATGACGAGGGCGAGCAGCCGTTTGGATTCGAGATTCTCCACAAGCGCAAGTCGTTCCAGGTATGCGCTGTACGGGCGCCACGCGCTCTCTGTGTGTGTGTGTGTGTGAGTCGTTGATGTGATTGTTCCTCTAGCCATTGGCTCACATTGTGTGTGTGTGTGTGTGTGTGCTCTTGCGTGCTTGATGGCGCAATCAAGTTGTTTGCCAGCTCGCAAGCCCAAAAGGACGTGTGGCTGGACAAGCTTCGCACCTACGTTGAGCAGGTGTTGTGGAGTTTAATGTGTCGATTGTGTGGACGCGTGCTGGCGTGCGTGATTTCACTCACGCACACACACACACACTCTCTCTCACGCACACACTCACTCACTCACACTCACTCACTCACTCACTCACTCACTCACTCACTCACTCACTCACTCACTCACTCACTCACTCACTCACTCACTCACTCACTCACTCACTCACTCACTCACTCACTCACTCACTCACTCACTCACTCACTCACTCACTCACTCACTCACTCACTCACTCACTCACTCACTCACTCACTCACTCACTCACTCACTCACTCACTCGTTCGCTCGCTCTCCTTTTCCTCGCATTCATGTCAAATACTGTCTTTGCGTGCAGGCAAGCGGCCGCCGGGCAGATGCGGAAGTTGCGGCGCGCGCTGTTTTTGTCCCCGACAGCAAGGTTCATTCTTGTGATCCTGCTGCCTCGCTGCAACCCAGCATTTTGCGACCGAAGAACAATGCACGCGCGAGTGCCTGTTGCTATCCAGTGACCCGCGTAACACCAACTCACACTCCCCGCCCCTCCTCTCCGTTCTCGCTCCTCTTCCTTTCACACTCAATGAACGACAGGCGAAGAAGTGCATGGTGTGCAACATGACCGAGTTTACGGTGTTGACGCGCCGCCACCACTGCCGCTGCTGCGGAAAAGTTGTTTGTGCTACATGCTCCCCTCACAAGGTCTGCCCGCACCGGCAAGCTTGGCACATGAGGAACCCACACCCTGCTTCATCACACACACACACACACACAGACACACACAGACACACACAGACACACACACACACGACACACACACACACACACACACACACACAC